CATTCAACTGGGCTTGGTGTTACCATGGTAACCACGGCTGTCGGCAAATACCCCCCCCCCACACCCTTTTTCAAGATTATTAATGTTTTTTTTAAATCTAGAACTACAGTTTTAATATATAACCTCACACACCTTAATTCATAGTGTCAGGGCGTCTGACATGAGCATTTCGTAACTGCTATTACATTTGGTGATGGAAACCCTTGTTATATTTATGATGTGTTTTATATCCACGGCTTGTTTGCGTGACTTTTTATTAAAGAAAAACATTTAAATTGACCATCTGGATAAAGGCACAGCTTTGAGGCCAGCCCTCTGATGCCTGCAGGGAATTGTAGTGTTTGACAAAAGAATTTGGAGGCATGAGAAATGATGACAGTAATATGTGGCACATGCAGGGTTCATTTAGCACTAGAGCACAATGACGTTTTAATTAAAATCGCAAGCCATGTGGATGTAGGTTTTGTTTTATTTCATTGAAATATCAGTGTTTGTCATATCTTCCTGCATGCTTGCCCACATCCGAGGTGAATGGAATTGTGTTTCTTGTGTTCAGAGCATTGAAAATATTTTTAAAAAACTAAATAGGGTTAGGGTTTAGTACAATTCTCCATCTAATCTGGAATGCACAGGGAATCATTGTGAACAATCTTATAGTATTATAGTATTGATTTTTCAATGTAATTGTTCAAACTTAGAGAACCAAACTCTCTACGTGAGTTGGTACTGAAACCAAACCCACAAGCGATGAAATTGATGAATCGTTTGCCCAAAAAAGGAAATATAAAATGTTCATTAGCAGCAGGTTTTCTGGTCCAAACTAAATTGAAACATAGGTAAATACGCTAGTTTACAGAAGCCCAACCGCCCAGCTAATGGTGACCCAAATGTTGTCCAGAAAAACAGAAATAATCATTATTAGCTTTGACTAATTCAAACAATTAAACTCAATTAAAAGTCTGAACTGGGCTTTGCATCAACTTTTATTGGGTATTTTGTGGAGGTTTAAGATTAATATTTGTGATTGCTTCTTTGGTGAGATCAAATATGCAAACTTGGATTGGATTTTAACGACAATGTTAGTCTTCAAATTTGAGCTATAATGCCAGATTTGAGCTATAAAGTATACACACAGAGTATAAAGCCTGTTAACTAATTACAAGACACATACACACAACACTCTAGAAATATGAGATAGTGTAAGAAAAATGTGTGTATGAAAAAAAGTATGTTGTGCATCACATATTTTCCTTTGTGTGTCTGTATGTGTGCATGTGTGTCATCTTGTATGCAGTTCTACAGTCATATATAACGTTGCTCAGCTAAAAATAAATAAAGGGTTCGGAGAGGAGTGAAACCCATTGTGCGCTGTGAGTCACGACCAGGAGTGGTGGTGCTGGTGATGATACCCCCCCCCCCACACCATGCCGCCACCACACACACACACAAACAATCACACCTTCTTCTCCCCTCGCCATTAAAATGCTGACAGGGAGAGTACCGTTTCTCAACACCAAGAGATCAAGACCTCCAGAGACTCAAAAGGACACACACACACAGACACACAATTAAAGCCAAGAAGAAGTCAGAATATGTAAAACCTCCTTAGGAGACAGCACAGTTTGTTGTATTTCAATTTACAACATCAACAACAGGAAGAAATGACTTTCCTCAAAATGTTATGAGTGTGCAGTTTCATCGAATGGGAAGGCGAGACAGCGTCAGGACAAAGATGTGTCCCTTGTGTGAAGTGTGAAGACGTTCATCACTCCTTACAAGGTGGTCATGTTGTTGTCAGGGTCTGAACAAGTAAAAATTGTTGAAGGTTTGCCGACTAATATCAGGTGATGTTGTTTAACTGCCTGGGGGAAAGTTGCCTCGACTGACTAAAATCTCAACTTGCCCCAGGTTTTTCATTAGACTCATGAAGAAATGTCAAGCTCTGTGACTAAAACCCTGCACTCCAGAGCTTGTCCTCCAGTTTTTAAAGGTCTCATTTTATAACTTAATGGGAAAATACCACTTGAACAGGAACATCATTTATTATTATTCCTGTTCTTGTGGACTAACCAACCCATTTTTTTAATATCCAAACCCGAAAGTAAAATGTAGGCTTTTTGTAGATTCATGCAAAAAAACATTTACCTCTTAATATCCTTTTTGCCAATTCTTGCATGCGTGTATGCATTTTTATGTCTGTTCTGTAAAAGCAGTTCAGAAAATTAATGTTTTTTTTTCAACAAAGTAAATACAGCATAAATGTGCAGGAGATGAAGAAATGTGCTACAGAGACAGAGCAAATGTTTTAACAGTACACACAATACACGTGTTTCTTTTCTTTCGAGGCTTTTGTGTTTTTTACTTGTTATCATTTCTGTATTTGCAGGATTTTTGCCATTGATCTATTTGTTTCGGCTGCCTAATGTTTTTGAATATGTTTTTTTATGCGTATAATTGTACATATATGATATAATGCACACCTCGACCTTTGATCCATCGAAATTCTCAGAGATGTAATACTATTAAACACTGTTCATCATCTGTCCATCTCCATAATAAGTTATTAGCTGTCAGGATTACAAGCAGCGGATGTATATACATGTAAATACAGAGTCACTTTTTATTGATGTGTTAATATTTTGGAGACTATCCAGGTGGGTTAATTTAGATTCCAATTAGCATTTTCTTTGCCAATAACTTTTTCACTTCAAAAATATTGATTTGAAACATTCACCAGGGAAAATCCAGTTTTGCAAATCCAGTTTTACATTTTTAAATACTTTAATATCTCCCTAATCCATCACGTGTGTGCCTCACTGCGTGTGTGAGTCAGTAGGTCTGTCCACAGGACGTCCTGATGCGACAGCATACGCCACACCAGTTGACTGTATAAAATAGGTGCATTTATTTGTTGTGATGTCGCCCTTTGGTTGGTGGACTGTCGTTTTGAAGCCTCCAGTTTGTCAACGGAGTTCTTTGGTACCAAGGTATAAGGTATGAGGGTGTGGCTACACAGGGATACTTTCTAATATGATCAAATCATCGCTGAGATCATGGTTTTATTTGAAATAAATATTAACAGTAAGAAATAAGTATAATTTCACCAGCTATGTTTGTAAACCCCTTTTGATATACAGCCCAATAGTATCTTACATCTCTTCAAATAGAACATTTTACATTCAAACAAACTACACAAAGGAAGGACAAATCAAAATACTCAAACTGTTTGCTCTGTTTCATCGTTGACCGAATCCTTGTGCTTTTAGTTGGTGTATAGTATTTTGATGAAACAACAACGAAAGCGTCACAATAAAAGACGTGCAAGTGATACAAATCAGGGGAAGTAGACAACAAGCACAGCAAACTAAGCAAATTATCTAAATTATTTCAAAGGAAAAAATACACACACAATGTTTTGCGAGAATTTCTCTTCCCTCAAGTCATGTGACTGAAACAAAGAGAATTGCAGAGTCTGTATGGTCAGATTTCATCAGATCGTCTTTCTCTCTGAAGATATGGTCCCAGAGACGAGTGTTGAGTGTTTAGTGGTCAGTATTCTGATGAATAAGGACACTGTAAATATGCCACAGTTGTTTTGGGTGAAGGTGGAAATATAAGAGCTTTCTACCTCAAAAACATTTCGAAATATCTGCATTACTGTAAATAGAGGGAATCATTTTGGTAATTTGATTAGGGAAATGATTTACTCTAACTTCTGGAACAATCCCTTACTGAACACGAGAGAAGGACTCAAACCTGACATACAGCCGGCAGTGCATTCAAAATGCTAATTTTTCATTTATTACTGAAAGCCGCACTACTCATCTTAAAAAAGACAGCAAAATTCCTGTCTTTTGTAGGAAATCAGCAGGTGTTTTATTCACACAGCACACACATGACTAAAACACCCCCGGCCTCCATTTTGTTGCAACATTATTGTCAAACCTGCTGTGATTACCACTTCCTGTCTCAGAAGCACAGGAGCAACTGAATGCACCAACAAATGTAATGGAGATGCAAAAAAGCTGCAATGAAATGCCTCCAAAAAGAGAAGGTTGACCTTCACGGTCATGTTTACTCTACTGTTTGATGCACAATGGAAATTGACCATTGCTGCAATAATAAAACCTATTCTATAGACAGGGTGGGGCTTTTTTTGCTTTAGAATACAGCTACTTTGGGGCTGAATTGCTGCACCTGATCACTGCACGTTTCCCCTGCTGTCATACAAATACGGGGTAAAAGGGTGAAGAAAATGTAAAGTGACGTGGAGGTGTTGCCTGAACTGTCGACGATATGATGACTCACACTGTGACATAGCAGGTATTGGGGAGAGGACTTTACAGCTCCAGGTGCCAGAAACCAAAGAGTCTAACGCGCACACGCACAGTGCAAGCATGCTCTGCACCTGCTCACATAATTTGCAGATACATAAATCCAACATCTCTCAAGTGGGATGACAAATGAAAGACCTAACAATCACATACTAAATGGCAAGCGACGTCTCTGCATTATCATCCGAAAATACAGTGACATATGATCACTGAAATATCACGTGAGCTATAAAACAGCAGAAAAGCATGATTCAAAATTCCGTGTGACCAATTGCAAAATGTCGCCGGGGTCATTTCATAGATCACAGCAATCCGGATTTACATGACGGCATGTGAAATACCGGGACGACTTTTAATTATAACTTTTTAAAATTCGAACTTATTTCGCTGTAACATTAAGTTGTTTGACAACTCAAACCAGTAAGAACGGAAACTATCGACGCCTGAGAGAGTATTTCAATTCAGAGGCGACACAACAGTTGTTGGCACAAACGATTAAAAGGCCTGGTTGAATCAAGAAGAAAGAGAAAAGACCAGAAATGACCAGAAGCCTCTGCGCAATCTCCTGTTCTCAAGCAGCGAGCGGTCATAACGAGACTAACGCAAAATGCAATTGAAAAGAATGACTTGGGTTTGACGTCATCCTCTAACCGGCCATGCAATTACCTGTCTCGGGTTAGGGAAGAGGACGAGGTGGAGGAAGGTCGGTCGGTCCGTCGTTGTCTCGCTCGCTATGTGCGGTTCTAAAATATCCAAATCATTAGTTCCCTGTTTGTTCTTTATGTCCCTGTGGCGCACACCTGGAGGCTCCAATGGGCAGGGTTCACCCAGGCACACACCTCTTCTCCATATTTGCTCCTGTTCCTCTTTTCATTGTTTCTCTCCTGTAAGACAGAAAGACAAGACGTGAAGGGTTTGGTCGAACCGACTATAATAAAGTCAATCTGCAGCCTTGCCTCCACGCAGGCCCTCGCGGACAGGACAGTCATGGAGATTTGGAAGGATGTGGGAAAACAATGTCACCTGCATCCGGATGTCTTAATATCAGATTCTGCACGAGCTATTTAACACACGTTGTTTCACGCGTCAGATTGATACAAACCTACAAGCAGCCATTACCTCACCCTTAAACGATGCATACGTTTCCCTTCAGTCACATCCTCAGCCGACACAGAGTCATCCTCGCTTTAGTCATCAAGGGTAACAGGAGAGAGAAACGCAATGCAACGAAACAGGTCAGAGGTCATGCTGTTTCCCTTTATAGAAGATAACGCCATCCGTCTGTTTTCGAAAAATTGCGTGCAGACAGCTTTTTTTTTTAATCAAGGACTTTGCTCACTGAACTTTTTGAGCTTGCTTTTCTGATTTGCCAAAATACACATAGGCCTGCCTCTAAAAGGTTTGATTTAGATTTAAATGACGTGCCTTTCTCCTCTCTGACGTGCACACTTCACAGGCTGACAATATATTTTCTTGACACTCTCAACCTGCAGTGGAAAGGGGCCAAACATTTCCGAGTATCTTCACTTCCTCGAATTTGAGACACTTGGCTGCTATTTGGCCCTTTATTGCAAATGTAGTTCGGGATGCATCGTGATTATGTACACCGATGCTCCCTTCAGCTCTGAGGGGACAGCAGAGACAAACTGAGCGTAAAGTTGCATGTGCTTTTTTCCCCTGGAGGCTGCAGAGCTGAAGACATTCAGTTTCTTTTATTTTTATTTGGTGGTTCAGGTTAAAAAGACGTGGTGTGAGATGCTAGGTGGATTAACTATCGGAACACGTGTGTGTGTGCTTGTGTGTGTGTTAAAGGAGAGGCTGCACGCAGGCTACGGGAGCGGGATGGAGACTGCCCGGTTTCCTTATGTTCCCTTATTCCTCTCCATCTGCCAATCTGGGATTCTCCCTAAATTAAAATGCTATTGTTGGGGAATCCCTGCCATATGCACGTACCTTACAGGTGTGTAAGTAAAGTGTATGCGTGTGTTTTTGTGTGTGTATTTGAAACAGGTTTTATTTTTTATTTTTAAGCGGTTTGGGGGTCCAATTACTCCCAGAAAAGTGACACTCCGCCCGCAAAAGAACAGACGCGCGCGCGCACACACACGCACGCACACACCCACACGCACACACACACACACACACACACACACACACACACACACACACAACCTCCACTAGTTTGCCCACGTGCATCTTGTGCATGGCCTGGGTCTCCCCGTGTTTATACTCTACGATGCTGGGGGCCACACTCGTTAGGGACCGAGGATTGTGGGGTGGGTGCTGTGCTGAAATTACTCTTAATCTTGCACGGCTCAAAGTTTTTGGTCCGATGTTTGTTGACATCATTTTTTTTTCTGGACACTCATGCCCGCAAGAGTTTTAAATTAAAAAATAAAAAAAAACCTGGGTGCGACGTGGCTGCAGAGCATCGCCGCAATTTCTAACAAAGAAGAAAACTGTAATCTAGAAAAAAACATGACACTCGCAAGGGGTTGAAAAGCAACCTTGACAAAAAACACCGCCGCTACGGCAGTGACGAAAATAACAAGAGCAAATAAGGACAACAAAGAAGCGAAAATCAAATTTGAGCAGAATAAAAAACAGCCCTTTAAAATGAAAGACTGTAAAATTTCACGAGTTGAGTCGTCTTCCGTATGTCGGTGTCTCGGCGTTGAATGCGCCCTCCGCAAATGCTTTTTGGGGTAAGGGCTTCCCAGATTAATAGTTATGAACAGCAAGCCCAGACCGCAAAAAGATTTGTGAAGGACATTATCTGCCGCTGCCGCTGCCGTCAGGCGGAGACTCCGTGACACCCGGGGAGTCTGCTCTCTTTTTGCTTCCGTGAATGCATCTTCCATCCCGGCTCGGTTGATTGTATCTCCAGCCATCGGCAACCCGAGGCAAGTGTGTCCCTCCCACACACACACACACACACACACACACACACACAACAACACACATGGAGGGGGATGTATGGCAGGAGCGACAGAAAGGATGATAAAGAGATAAAAAAGAGGAGGGGATCTCCGGATGCCACGGATGCTGCTGCAACCGAGAGCTGTCCAAGGTCCTTTCGCTTTGATTCCCCTCTCCTCCAGTTTGAATTCTCCCCTCTCGTCTCCCTCCCTCGTCCATTCCTTTCTCTTCTATCCCCTTCCTCTCACTCTGTGTGTCTACCTCATATTCTCCTGTCTTCCTTTTTTTATTATCCAAACGCTCGGGTGTGCATAGCCCGTGTGATCACTGGGAGCGGTGCATCGATGCGTTTTGTTGTGAGTGTGCTCTCTCGCTCTGTGTTATATCCCCTGGTCCGTGGTCTCTCCGTATAGTGAAGCAGTGGCTCTCTGCAGCCGCTCTAGAGCTCTGGTGAGGAGAGAACAAGGCTGTAAACTGTTGGCAATAAATAGGGAGCAGGGCGGGATCTCATTGGAGACGCCAAACCTCGTCATCGACCAATCGGTGTCTCGCTCATATAGGGACCCCCCTTTTTGAAAGAAAAAAATGGACAGGGCTAACCAAATTGTGATCTATAGCAGGGAAAGTGTATATTTATATGCATTGATGTATGGATAGGATCGGCTATTTGTTACTATGCTTTTTCTTTTTTTTCTGCCTTTTTGCGTTAGCGAGGCTGATAAAGCGACCGTCGCTTCAAAGGGTTATATCGAAATTTGAAACCCTAGATTATGAAGATAATACAATATAAACAAGACATGTGATGGAAGAGATGAGACATTTTCACGCCATCACAAAAAACAGCCCCCTTCCTACAAACCAGCAACATCCAAATACCCAGCGAAAATGTAATAACTGAATGTAACAGCGGAGCCGTCGAACGGAACATCCACATCGCATCATAACATCAGCAAGACCCTTCTTACTCGTGGTCACATATAGAGTTCCCCGGAGGGTAACACTGCAAAAAACGACACGGGGAGCGGGGGGGGGGGGGTCTGAACTGCAAATTCAGACAGAGCTCCAGTCATTTGGAAGGATTTTATGGTTGAAAGCAAAGAGAACTACAATTACATCACGGCGACGATGCGCTGCAACAGTGTTCGGCTTAAACAGTCACAATGTCGTACTTCACAAAATAACAACAAATTGCTGAGCACCGCACCAGGAGTTAAAGAGTTAATCACGACCGTGCTCTTTCTCAGAAGAAATCTTTAATATGTTTTCTTGACGATCAAATTAAGCAAATTAATAATAAAATAGAATAACTTACCTGCCCCCCCCCCCCCCCCCCCCCCCCCTGCAACAGTTCCATCAGTTTTTCTCAGAGGCCACTGCATCTCTCCCCTCTCTCCCCACTCCCCCCCCCAAACGACCGCCCGACTTTCCCTCCAAGCAAGTTACTGGACCGGGGTGCAGGCTGGGTCACGACCTGGATCCGGACACCTGCTCCCTGCTCCCCGCTTCCCCCTCCCTTTTTTATAGCATGTTGGATCGCGACCCAATGCCCCCCTTCCCTTCCCTTCTTTTTCCCATCCACGCAATCCACACCGCCCCATTATCATTGAGAAATTCTTCTGCAGACACAGACAGTTGGGATTGAGGGGGGAGGGGGGGGTAGTGCATATCATATGTCGGCATCCCCCCCCCCCCCCCCCCGTTATCCCTCCCTCCTGGTGTGGGTATTTTTTATTGGGTGGTCTTTTCATTTGCAACCCAGTCAGTCACGATTCTCCGCCACCGTCTGCACTGCACAGTGACTGCCTCTCCTGACGCAGCCAACGCGCACATTACTCACTTTAGCAGTCACGACTCGGGAATCTGTGTTCTTTCCATCTTAGCTTTGAATTATTGAGCAAGATCTGGCCCCTCGAGTCGCTATTTTCGCGTTTTGATCAACGAGGAATGACATAGTAGGTGCTGTTTTTTCGGTATTTGCGGAGAGGTGGAGGAATTAAACGGAGGTGAAGTAGGATACAAATTGAATTTTGCGTCATAAAGGTAGTCGATATGGGGTTTTCCGTAATGGGAACGGAGGATTGGTTGGCTGAATTCAAAATTACTGAGAAAACCGGGTAAAGTACTGAGGTTTGGGGCATTGAGCACGGTTCTTGCGTCCCGGTCACAGAGTTTAACTGCGCGGACGCTCGCAGCGCTTGTTGCCGTCCTGCCGGTCCGGCTCCCGAATTCAACACTGATGCCTAAATTGAAAAAGGGTGATTCCTTCAAAGCTCTTTGAAGTAGATGCAAAAAACGCGAGGCTCTGTTTGCTTCTCGCGCGCCGTCCTCGCCGCTAGGACTCAAAGTTATGGCGACGAGAGTTAACCCCAGACCACTGTGGAAGTTATAGGCGCGTATACAAAATATCTCAACTACGCTTAATTTCAACGCGAGTTGCTGACCCTTCAAATAAAAGCTGCATCGTACAGAAATCAGAATGATGAGTTAGTCAAACCCCGCCGATGAGGCCGTTTAAACTATACAGGCGGGAAAAGCTGTGATATAAAATTGTTCTGAGCCAAATATCTTCCCTCTGCTAGCGCGGGCGATAGAGGCGGGGGGGGGCTTCAGTATTTATCCTCCAGCGTCGCTCTAGGAATGAGTATTCACTCAGAATAGATGTTGTTTGGTTTCTAAAAAAAGAGTGAATTAAGCTTTTGGCAGCCATGACCACACACACACACACACACACAGACATAGACTGGCAAACACCGCCTGCAACAGCCCACTACCGCCACTTGGTGTGGCTTCAGCACCACTGCTGCTGGACAGCTCCCCGGGTTTCCCCATGTGATGCGCCTGGTCTCTGCTGCGGCGACAGATTGTTTACTTCACTCCTCTCTCTCCTCCCTGTTCCCCATCCTCCACCGCAACGACTCCCCTTAGAAGATTCAAAATGAAATAGCCTATTAAAAAGACGGAGGGAAAGGCGCCCTTAAGCGCTCATCAAAGAAGGGTTCCCCTCGCTTTCGCGGTTAAGCAGGGAGATGGGAGGGGGGTGGGGGGGGTACGTACCTGATGGAGACTCAACAGCGCCAGCAGACAAAGGGAGTTTTTTGCACTTCGTTATTTACCAAAAGGGGTGATTCCTCTGCATGGAGGGCTGCTCTGTGCTCCGGCTCTGCAGTCAGACAAGCCGACCGTAAAACCCATTCCTAAGAAGAGTTTGTTGGCGTGCATGAGACAGAGGAGGAGGCAAAAAACACGAGGAGAGAAGCGGCACAGCCACATGCACTATACCAAAAAGTACACGGAACACGGAACATCACATGTGTCTCACTCACCATGGTACGGGCACGTCGTCGTTCGAGCTGCAGGGAGAGAGCGAAAGATAGTGGGAAAAACAAAAAGAGACATTCAGATTTTAGTGGAGAGCTGCAACAAGGAGTCTGAAAGAAAATGCCACAGATTAAGTCCTCCATTTGTTATTATGTGTTATAGGCTTACAGTGGCACGTCCAGCTCAGGATCGCCTCCCTTTTATACAAGTGATACCCATCTGTCTATTTATGGCGCACGACCCAAACTATGATGCTATTTTTAGGTCACAGTGCGCGGTAGGAAAAAAAAACACTCACGAAAGACATCGCTTAAGAACACTACGTGAAGTGCATGTCATGCCGATTAATTCAGGCTTTCCAACTCTGCACAAGAACCCCTCTCCGTTGCATCATTGCAGTGATTTTTTTAAACTCAATGTCCCTTCCAACAGCGCAGCACCTCATTCTCATCCTTAAACTTCTTTCACTCTCTACGGCAAAAATCTGGAACTCGTCGCCGCTGCCAATATCATCGACGATATTTGATGTCTTGTCGCCCTCTTCCGAAGCTCTGCGTCCCAGTGTCAGCTGGAACTCATGAACGCGAAATAGCTCCAAATACTGACGAAGGCGGATTACCCGACGCTGATTTTCATTTTGTTCTTTCAGTCGACGGAGCGATGTGAAATGTAGTAATCAAGCTTTACCGACGAGAGGAGGTAAAAAAAAAATAACTGCTTTTTTTTTGTTGTTGAAGGGCTGCGTCAGTACTAGGCATTGACGTCACGTTTAGATTCTCTCACTTCAAAGCTCGTGGAGCCGGATTAAAGACACTGCCGCTCTGTGATCAGATCTTTGCAAATGTGCCATGGACAAAAATGTGTGACAAAATAGGGAAATATTACAGGTGGATCACGTGGTAAACTGCTGGTTTGTAGAAGGCTATCTCCTTTAATTCTGGAGCGTCTGGGTTTTCGCCCGCCAGACCCCTCCACACACACACACGCACACTTCTTCTCTTGTTTCTATACATCCCCCCACAAGTGTTTGTCCTCTTTTTATCTCGGTAAAATTGATATCTCAGCTTTCAATGCATTTGGCGCGCAAAACATTGTGTCAAGCTGAAGGAGATGAAAACACATCTAGCAGAGCCTCTGCACTCTCCATCTCATATACTGGCCGTGCCCACGCACCAGTACAAGCTCACCCACGGAGTAGACTCACGGGGGGGGGAGGGGGGGGGGGCAACGTGTCTAACCAAAGGGGCGCACACGCACAAACAAACATCCCTCTACATGCTCCGTCTCTCACCCCACGTCCCCTTTCGTTAACACCTTTACTGTAAAACCCTCTGCACAGCCCCACGTCGGCCATCTGCACTCCTGTCGCGTGGAGGATCACAAAACTTGACGGGATGGGACATGGTGAGCTGAGGCTGGACATTTGGGGGGGGGGGGTCGAGAGTAGAGCGTATCACTGAGTGGTATCCGAAAGTCGTCTCCTAGAAGGGAAAAAGGGCTGCGCCCGTCGCATCGGTTTGTGCTATCCCTGCCTGTAGGCCAACTGTATGTCCGTCACTGCTGGTGAGTGCAGGAACAGACACGCAGGCAGATTCAGCCTGCCCCCCCCACACTGAGAAGACCAGCGTAAGGAATCGCTGAATAATAAAGAAAACCCTTTTCCCCACCCAAACAGTATAGTTAAGAATTCCATCCCCCACAAACACACACACAAAAACGTACACAAACCACGCCACCCAGTATACAAACAGACACACGTCCCTGAAGTCTAAGATCGGAATCACAGAGCAGTGTCAATGGGGAGTTGCAGGCTCCTCAGTGCAGTGCGCCAAGATCCCCGCGTGGTGCCGACAGATTCACTTAGAGATTTTCCTAACTACACCCCCCCCAAATCCCCCTTTGGAAAGTGTGCACTCCTGACTCCTGCAAGTTGCAAGGGGCGGCAGACTCCCCCCGCCCCCCTCTGTGAACTCTTTCTTCGACATCATCTTATAACGACATCGGGGGATAGAAGACTATAGGCTATCACTGTGTCCAATGAATGCAAGAGCATGCAAGACACATGTTTTACACATTGTCTGAAAGTGCTGATGTCCCAAAGCAGGGTGTATTGCTGTAAATAAACTTCACTTCCCAGTGTGTGATATCAGTGCACGTTAGTGCTCAGCAGAGGCTGATCTTCCTGAGGCAGCTGAAGAAATTCAACCTGCCAAAGAGGATGATGGTGCACTCTGCTCCTCCATCACCGTCTGGTACGCTGCAGCCACAGCCAAGGACACGGGCAGGCTGCAGCGTGTCATCCGCTCCGCAGAGAGGGTGATCTGCTGTCTCTCCAGGTCTTGTTCGCTTCCAGGACCCTGAAGTGAGCTAAAAAGATTGTAACCGACCCCTCTCACCCGGACATAATCTGTTTGTGCCCCTTCCATCTGGCAGGAGGATGAGGTCCATCAGGACTAAGACCTCCCACGACACAAACAGTTTCTTTCCGTCGGCAGTCGGGCTTATCAACAGAGCCCGGTCCCCCACTGACTGACTCTGACATCCCACCGGTCACTCCCTTCACACTCCACATGCACATACACACTTGTCACTTTCACATATAATCACAACACAGTTGTGTAGAGTATGGTTCTGTTCACTGCATGGTCCACTTTTAAAAAAAATAATTTTTCCTTCTTATCCTTTATTTTTTAATTGTTTATTTTATATCCCCCTATCCCATTTTTGTTATTTTTGTTATCTTACCTGTCTTGTCATTGTCTTACTGATGTTATGCACCAACCGCCAAGTCAAATTCCTTCTAACATATTTTGATAATAAATGTTCCTGATTCCTGATTCCTATGAGGACGTATGCAAGTGCACTGATGAGGTAGGCGGCTGTCCGTGGTGCTGAAACAGCCCATTCAGTCCGTCATGTCTATAACCTCTCCCCAGCTGCACCAGGACCCTCCACGCAGTCAGTCGAAAGTGATGTCACCTCGTGCTGTTTCGGCACATATAAAGTTAGAAAACCCGCAGGGTTTTGTGGGTGATGTAAAATCGCTACCGTGAGGACAACATGCAAGCACGAGTGGACTGTCACAAGTCCTCCGAGGAAAGTTGTTCACAAGTGAACTGATAGCTTTAAAGCTAAGCTATAACGGTTAGACGAACGAGGGTCTTTCACAACGACAACGTTTGCTTTAAGTGTTGCCGAATAGTTATACCACATATATAAGAAACATAAGAAAGGTGTCCCGGAAAATAGCGATTTGCCTTCCCTCTCGGTGTCGCTCTAGTTGTTACTTCTCCGCAGAGCGTGCAGCCAAAAGGATCCCCAACACGTGAATCCTCCTACGCATCACCGCAGCCCGCTCTCTGAGTGCCTGCTCAATCCCCTCAGTGGTTCACAGACAAAAAGTCTGAGTTGACTTGGCAATTAAGAGCAAAACGTTCACAAAACAGTGCCAACAATTAAATGACCAACATCGACACCATTGAGATAATTATGTTCAAATAAATACATTTCTTTCTCTGAAACGGTAACCTTCGGATGGCGTTCAAAGCCACAACATTCCTCCTCCTTCTCCGGAGGCTGCTATAACCTCGTAGACCCAAAATATTTAAGGTCTGATTGCGAACTTGACGTCACTCTTCAGCCTTTTCTGGGTCGGCATTCTAGCCATCTGCAAAGGAAAGGGCTTACCTCTCTGAGATTGTTTTTCTCTTTCTTTTAAAACTTTTTAAATGGGGCTTTGGGCAGGAGCTATAATGAGGAGGCACTGAGAGGGGAAGCAGGGCAGCCTCTCCTCCTGCGTCAGGGTGGAGGACACAAGTCAGTCCGATGTGCGTCGCGTCCCCGCTCCGTCGGTGACTCACATTATTTTGTGTTGTCATTCAGGGGTTTAGGGAGTTATAGCTCAAAATAAATAAATAAAAAGGTTGGGTTGGGGTGGGAGGGGGGAGGGAGGGTGGAGAGAGGAGGGGGAGAATATACACAGAGCAACGTGAGCCAGCTGACGGGAAGAGCCCGCCAAATCAGGGGCACCACGCACACGATTCACCTCACCGCATAAACTATCTTCTAGAACACTCTGTGCGTGCGTGAGTCTCTCTCTCTCATTACATATATATATATGTATATATATATATATATATGTATATATATATATATATATATATGCATGAATGGGACGGGAAAAGGCCGAATGAGAGTCGGCGCTATTATTGACGCAAACTCGGCAACATTTTTTAAAGAGATAACAGTAGTTTTGCAGGAACGCACCATGTCACAACACAGGGAAGAGCTTTGGAAAAGTGTCTTGGCGACGAGACCTGCGACCACCTGCTGCTTTGTCTCTCGGTCTCCGGGCCTCTTCTTCAGTGTTCTATTGACCAGCATTGACGTCATCACGTCATTAGGTTTCCCTTAGAAACACAGACTCAAAAATAGTATCAAATTAATTTAGCTGGCACGGGGAGAGAAGGTGGGGCTTATTAGTGTTTGGGGTTGTTGCGAAAGGGGGGTTGGAGGGCTGTGGGTGAGGAGTAAGGGGACATCGAGTTTTATCCTCCCCCGTTTCCACGCACCACCACTATTTCCATGTTGACTGAGGTGGAGAGCTGCAGACACGTCGATGTCTGAAGTTGAAAGACCGGGCGCTCAGTGCGAACAATATGAATTTCTCATAAGCAAATTAGTCATTGTTGCTGAAGGAACATATAAGCATACACTACTAAAGCTTAAACAAACCTCACATTGATTAAAATAAGTATTTTGAAAAAGTAGTAGGTCAAAAGGTTTGCCTGCCTCTCCCCAATCTTTGAACATCTTTCCAACATCTCTGCAGACAGAAGGTGTAATCCTACAGGTCCTTGGGATGCTGTTCTTCAGAGGTTTTCACCGATGGTGTCAGACCCGGTTGAATATAATAAGCCTCACAGGGGATTTATGCTACCAGAAACATTCTGTCTCAATCTAGAGGTTGAATTCACGAGAGGAGGTAATGTATAATGTAATATATGGAGAAGTGTTTTAGGATTCACAGGAAGAGTTTACTATGGGCTCTAATAATTTGCTGATTCATTCAACGTTTTTTGTCCACGTGTTATCTAATTCATCAAATGTTGTTGGGAAGCAGTTTTTTAAACACTCAGGAGTGGCCTCCATAAATTAGTGTTCCTGTTCCTGACAGGCCTCTGATTCATCTGCATGAGGGGACACATAGTGACTGATAATCAAAAATGGGCTGAGGAGGAAAAATTGTCATATGCTCCTGAATCCATAGAGTCCAACTGAAAATCTTGCCTGTGTAAATGCCAATTTATCATCATGATCTTTGTGATAAAGAGAAGAACATTTGAGATAAAACCGGGCTGTGATGGGCCGGTGGAAGTGGTTGAAAGACTCACAGCGTTTCAATCAGGAGACAGATTTAATTATATAAAAAGAATAAAGTCTAAGTGAGAGTGCAAATTAGTTTCTCAGAAATTATGACTCATGATTTTTCTGAGATTTGTGCGCATCCCTGTGTTTAAGTGTTTCATGTTAACAGTATTCTGATCAATATTATTAGCCCTTAAGTGATAATAATATATTGTATTGGTTTTCAATGAGGAGAATCAGGAGCATTAGAAAACAAAACATGAAATGAAAGATTGTTACGCTAAGAAACAGTCTGTTGCCAGTCTCCTCAAAAAGAAACCGTAAAAGACCAAGATCCCTGCTTTCTTTTTTTAAATCTAACCCAGCAAAGA